GCATTTGCAGGGTAGCATGTTCAAAACATTCTGACATCCTCTGCTGCTGCTGCTCATTGGACTGTCTCCAGCTCTCATGCTTGGGAAAGGTTAGCATCAGGACTGAGACTTGATAGTTTTAAAATGTGTTTAATTTAAAAACATTTCTTCCCACTTTCTTCCCATTCTGTTCCTCTTTTTAACCTGGATTTTTTTCACCATTACAACTTATTTAAAAGGAGAGAAGGTGAGAGGTGAAGTAATGGATCCTTCCCTCTGTGAAAGATAAATGGAGGGGGCGAAGCATTAAAGGACCCTCATATTGTAGGCACGTGTATACTGAGTTCTGAAGGCAGAAGCCAGTTAGACTGCAGTGGGTGCTTTCAGATGAGCGCGTATGTTTGTTTCCACTGGTACTAGTAGCCAGTGGCAAACCTCGTGCCACATGCCCATACCGCATGTGCTCTGGTGCATGGCAGGTTACTCCACGTTAGGTAAGGGAGGCTGGGGCCAGCAACTGTGCACTTTACCTGAAGCCCCAAGAATCTCAGCTGTGGCAGAAAGCCTGGCCAGCAGCTAGAGCCTGACTCCGGTTGGTCAGGTTCTGGTTTCGGATGGGATGTGCTGCTGCCATGTGAGCTGCCTCACTATTTTGGTGTAGGCGTTTGGACCTTGGGATCTCCCATGGTGAAACCCCCCACCCTGTGCTGTAAGGTAACAGTGCAGGGAACACCTGCATGTACAGTGTGTGGCGCCACAGACAGGTCTGCGGCCCCACATGTCCACGCTTGCTTGGACACAGCCAGTAAGCGCGTAGTCTGAAATGAGAGCATCTCTGTCACTTCTGAGATTTTCATTTAAGTGTAACTTACCAAGAAACTTAGGTAGTTACCGTAGTACTTTATGAGAACTTTGATTGCATTTATGTACGTGAGCATGAGAGAAATGTCAGACTATATTTGTATTGTAAGCAACTAGATGAATGTAGGTGTGGCAAAAAAGTTATTCCTCCTTGTTATTTTAATAGTATACTTTACTTTCAGGTTTTTTGTCTAGTAAACATGAGTTTACAAAATGTATCAAAGCCATATTTAAAATTTTTCTGGTTCAGATATCATTACTGTAATATCTTTTGGATTAACTTGCATTTGAACAAAGGCTTTTTTGGTATTTTTGTGTGCATGTCTTTCTACAGAGCTCCTATTTTAATCTGAACAGTTTTATAAACCTGCAGTTTGCTGTGATACCTGAGGAATTGATGACTATTTTCTGTGTTAAGGAAGAGAGGCCATTCCACATTTCCAAGAGTGCAGACCCTACACAGTTGCTTGAAATAGTTGTTAAGTGGTTTTGGGCAATGGAGGGAAGGCAGTTAATTTAAAAAACTTGCTTATATCACGTACCTGTAAAAGCAATTTTGTCAAACAGTGACTTGTGTCCCTTTCTTGAAAG